CAAAATTCAAAATGTGACCTTTATTACCTTGGTCACCTCTTCCTCCTGGAATTCCTCTTTCTCCTTTAGGTCCTGATTATGAAGAAAAGAAGATTCTTATTTTTATGCTGGTCTTCAAAGTTGCTTCTCTCTCTCTCTCTCTCACGCGCGCGTGCGCGTGTGCGCATGCGCGCACACACACACACACAAACACACACACAAACACACACACACACCAGCAGCAGAAACCAGTCTAAAGGGCCACTAAATTTATATGTTACTATAACTGGCACATGAATTTATTTGTAAAAGTATGTCCATCACTGGAGGTGAATTATGGGGAAAATTAAGAGAATATGTGTTTTTGTATGAAGGGAATGTGTAGCCATTGCCCTGAATCTTCCTCCATGTATTCACCTGGCAGGAGATCTGAAGTGCCTACATGCACAGAAACTGTCTGTTCTTGGACTTTGTATACATAATCATGGGATCTATCTACTCAAGTGTCCAGCTATCCAACCCAGCCTATTTGCATCAGGGATAAGTGAATCTGTCAGTTCCGATTACTTTCTGCATCTAATATTTCTCCTTTCATTCCTTATATTTGTTCCAGCTGATTTCTGCATCTAACTGCTTTTCTCTTCTTTAATCCACATGAAAATTCATGTATATTTTCCTGCACATTTCTCCCAGAATATATTTTGCTTAAGGGAGGTATTTTTGGAGGTTTCCTTAATATGATTTCTTTAATTTTTTTAGTTGCCTTTTTCTTTTTACATTATTTCCATTAACCTACCCATTTTCAAATACATTTTTTAAAACTTGTACATATACCCCAGCCCTGAAAATAGGATAATAGGGTTAGTTCTCCTGTTCCTTTTACAAATAACACACAAACACAGATTATTGCTAATTTCTGTGCATCCATCCACCAAAGGTGTTCAACAGGCATATTCTCACACATTTCTGTTGAATTCGGTTAGACAAAAATGAACAATTTAGTAACCATACTTTAAATGAATGCTGTAGAGGTTTAGAGCAGCTGCTCTTGCCTACTTTGTGTGCTAGAACTCAGATATGTATGGCATTTGCTTACAGAATATCATTTAATTTTAGTCACATTCAGATATTTCACAGGAATTACGTTGGACCCATTAAAGGAAATTATTTGTAGCTAAGGGTTGAAATGAGGGGTCCTTAGTGTTCTCTAAGGTTGCCTTTGTTTACTTAGATGGAATAATGTAACATCTGCAAGTTAACAAGTTGGCTCAGAGTGCACAAGTATCCCTCAATTAAGTTGGAGCAATAAATGAAAGAATAGAAGGAAGTGATTAGAAGATCATATTATAGTTACCCACCAGGAGGTCCTGCAATTCCTTGAGTCATGTTGCTTTTAATTTGGTCTGAAAAAGATATTGACATCTGTTGGAAACAGCATAAGTCTGTAACTAAAATCAATCTGTTTTCACACGCTTATTAAACAAGATGCACAGCTACTTCAGATGTAAACCCTATTTTAACATTTCTCCAGTTATATTATGTATCTCTGCAGTGTTACCATTTTCAACATTCCCATGGTGTTTATGACCTCCTTTTCCTCATTTTGTTTTCGTGGATTACAGTACAGTATGAACTTTTATAGCACTGATTTGAATTCCGCTCAGTATCATTTCCATGCAAAGTGATTAACTATTCCTTTCAAATTTCCTTATTTCAGTTTCATTCCAAACCATTCTATCACTTTATTGGCCAAGACACATCCAAGGTGTACAGAAGACCCTTCTTGGGTATTTATAGCCAGGTCAAGAGATTTCCACCCAAGTACGGCAGACTCTAATAGGTTCAATGCCTCTCATCAAACTACAAGTCTACATGAAGAAGAAACAAATACAGACAAGTAGGAATATAATCAGTATAAAAAGTGTTTTCTGGTCTTTGCTGAGGCGATTGAAAGGCTGATACCCAATCCCAAACAGTAGTACTGGGTGGGCTAGTGCATGTTAATGTGATTATTTTGAGGGCCTTGTAGAGCTGTGGGTGGCAGCAATAGCAATAGACATGCTATTCAAATAGTTTTCTAAATATTGCTTTGTGACTGACTTTACCTGCTATTTAATCCAACCCAGATCATAATCCAATACAATGCCCCAGATCAATGATACATCTGTCAGCCCTGTATCTGTCAGCCTGGTGGACCAGACAGGAAACATGACCAGATAATCCAATTTTATCTTATTGTAAAGCTACACAATCTGAAGGTAGAATTCTCCGGTTGTCTCTTTTACAGCCTGAGAAACTAAAACTATGGATGATCCTTTCTGAGTTTCTTGCCTCACCTACTATCCAGCTACAGGCTATGATGTCTCTTATCCCTAGACAGCATCTTTTTGCTCCATCTCCCAAGGTATTTCCCACATATCATTACAACATCATAACATCTACACCAAAATGATTTAAGTACCAAATTGGATCCTTCCTTCCTTCCTTCCTTCCTTCCTTCCTTCCATCCATCCATCCATCCATCCATCCATCCATCCATCCATCCATCCCCATATAGGCTATATCATAATATACACAGAGGCAGATACAACATGATCACTAGCAAATGGAACGTACTTTTATGTACATACTCTGCTTATCTTCAGTATAAGTTTGGGAGTGTTGGAAAGATCTTAATCAGAAAACTTTGAGATTAAGATAATTGTACATTTGCTTCAGAGAAAAAAAAAGTCTATACACAATTTGATTCTAATGGTTTTAAGGGTCAAATTTAACTTTTTATATTGAAGCTCTTATTCATGAACTCTTGCAAGAGAGCAAAAGGAAGACCAAGGGCAGAAATGTCCCCTGAATTACAAATGTGGCATTTGAACAAAGAAATCCATTCCATTTTGTATACAGCATTCAAAATACTTAACATGCACAGTAGGAAGAGGGACAAAGCAAAATAAAACTGCATTCAGATTACACAAAGCTAGGATGTACCTGTAATGTTCGCCATTTCCCATTGTAAATATTGGTTGCTCAATTTGATTACATGAAATTCTTGTTTTAAATTGTGGATCCAGTTTTCTTGACCATTCTCAGCATTGATTCCAAAAATGATCTCATTCTCAATGGAGGCATTGGCAGAATGATTCACTTGTTTTGCTGTTCCGCCATCTTTCATGTTATTTATAATTTTGTGCATCATATAGACTAAGAAAAATTGAACAGAAAGTAATGAAATAGCCAATCTTTATTCATCATTACCCAACTGTGCTAATTTTCTAAGTTAATTTTCATTTTTCTATATAGCCCTGGGAGAATGTAAAATTAGGTGAAGAACTTTAACCAAATCCTATTATCTTGTCAGGGAGCCTTATTCTCATGCCTTGAATGTTCTCCTGAAGTTATAGAAATAATCACAATTTGTGAAAAACTCTCACCAGGACATGTCCTTTCATGTCATACCTGGCCAAATCACAGATCTATTGCTATTGTTAATGTTATATAAAACACATGAAACCAATCATTGTAGCAGGATCCTACTGACTCTTTCACATTTCTCTGACTTGAATAATACAGAATAATTCAGATTCAATTAGCCCCTTGCCTTTTCAACACTCACGTTTTATTATTTTACTTTAATTAATAGGTCACTATTTGTTACTTCAAAATTAGTGTTTGGAGGAAATATATTGCTTTATGCAATACAGTTTAATCTGATGTTTAAAAGTGTGACCAGTGGTGTTGCCAAAACAAGAAAACTTTATTTATGGACATTCTCTTTGGACATGATATGTTAATTTCCCAAAGGGACAGGGGCTGACCAGGGACTGCCTTTATTGGGATATATGTGTTCTCTAATGTTTCTTCTGGTTAGGCAGTGTCATCATCACAGTGGACATGAGTTTGGGCAGATTCAGGGAAAAAGTGGAAAACGGGTGCTTGGTCCATGGTATCGCAAAGAGTTAGATACAACTTAGTGACTAAACAACAACAAAAACAAAAAATACTTCTTCAAAGACATTGGATGGAAGATTTTCTAATCTGGTGATCAGTGCAACATTAGAGGGTAACCTGTACCTATGATTGAATTAGCCTCACCAGCAGAACTTCCATGCCTTTCTTTAAATGCAATTTAAATGCACTAAAACCTCATTTCATGTTCTAGCACATGTTCTCTATACTGAAGAGGTAGGGTAACATTTAAAGAATGGCAATCACAAGGACATGAACAACAATTTGTTTATCCACCAGCATTTCCAGCTCAGATTGGAGGCCCATTTGTTATCACCTGTATACTATCATGGGATAAGTTAATATAGTGCCATTACTGAAGGTTAAATGACCACAAGATCATGGCTTCTACCTGCTGCATCCAATATGAACATTCCTGGCTTCAGCTGCGAACCATTAAGTACTAAGAAAGCAAGTGATGCAGATGTGGAATGGAGCTCATCATTGTTAGCCAGAAAACTAAGAACATTTACAAGACCTCCAAAGCCAATTTTCTGCCTTTAACTTTTGCAGTCTCACCAGGACCTTTAACCTTGACCTACAATCCCCATTTTTACTGTCTTACTCTGTCTTGGTGTGCATTTATCATCCATTTTTCTAGTATGATGTTCCTATCTCCTTTTTCCCCCTGTCTTTTTTCTGTGCTGTAATATCCCACTTCCTTTTCCTTCTCTCTCTCTCTTTTAAATGTAATGTAGACTAAAAGAAAAAAAAATAGAGAAAAACTATATGGTTGCCAGGAACAGAAAACAACTTGTTGGCACATAATCAATCAATCAACCAACCAACCAATCAAAAGAAAAGTGATGGTACCACCTTTTCTGTCCAGGTGTGCCCCATTTGTTGGTCATAATTCACCAGCTAAAAGCTTAGGGGATACTTGAGATCAAGTGGCACTTTTAGCTTCTTCTGTCCCCAGCATACTTCTGCAATTTACTCTAGACTACAGAATGGTTTCCTGTTGTTGTGTTGCTGCTGTTTTTAAATTTAGTATTATATGACAAGATAAAAAGCATTGTAAAGAGCTATTCATATTGTGATGAGAAAACCAGGATGACTAATCAGTCTCACATGTGGCTGAAGACAAAAACATCTGGAAAACGGGTTGGGAAACTCAAGGTCTGAAGGTTATTTAGTGAATGCTGGGAAATCATATTTGGCACTGTTTTTATTTTTCAGGTACCAATTAGAAACGCTCTAACTTTTTTGGAACTTTTTAGGATGGGTAGGTTCTCTTTACCTTTTTAACTCTGTATTATTTTAAGATCATTAATGATAGGTGGGGGAACCCCTTCATGATCTGAAATACAGCAATCAGTTAAACATGACACCACAAAACATCTGGCTGCTTGGGGGACATAATATGATGCTGCTCACCACCAGTTGTGACTTTCCCACAACATACAGTACATTAAACTGATACTTCAATGCTGCTGAGGGTATCTACCCAAGGCAACAGGTTAACTAAAGATTTCACTCAGCCAGATTTACCATTATCAGTAGTGTGAGAACAGGCAGTTTTTAAACTTTTGATTAAAAAAAACCTAAATTATGTTTAATATAGGTTACCTTCATAAGCCAACAGTCCCATGCCTCCTGTGAGCATAACCAAATATATTATGAGTATTACAGACCAAAAACAGCATCGGCAAGTCTTTTTCTTATTCTTTGGTTCTAAAATTTGGGGGAAAACAAAATATACAGAGTAATTTAAGTCCATCATTTGGCTCTACAAGTGACTGAAACTATCCTTGCGGGTCAAATAATGATAGTTTCAGATCATAATAATCTTCTACAAAGTTTTATAAAACATGTATCCTATTGAAAGTAGGATTAAAACAGGTTATCTTTTATTAGTATGTTTAACAGAGAGTTAATTGCTTAATTTCTAGATAAAAGTTGGTGTAAGTGTAAAGTTTAAACTATGTAAGCTTATCTGGAAGTATATTTGAACATTCAATTTTCCAAAGATATCTGCTGAGAACAGCAATCAACAAATAACAGTCTTCCAAGAATCTTTTACTGTAAAAGTTTTGTAAATGTCAGTGATATACAACTCAATCAATACAAAAATAAAACAAACTAAGCAATATAATTTTGCCTCTTAAGGTATTTCGATGTAACCTGTGACAACGACCAGCTGAATAAATGTTGAAATATCTTATGAACTTGATATAGGTGCACACTGAACAATTCTGAGGAAATCCATTCTTGCACCAATGTCCATTTGAAAAGTCCTATTGACACAATCTCACTTTGAAGGGACATCAAATCCCATCAATAAAGGTTGTGTGTATTTCCTCACAAAACTCTTCCTTTTTCCTTGTCACTACAAATAGTGAAAACCTTGTCTGTGTGAAAAATAGCCGTAGCACATTGTGAAAGACAACTTTAAATCCATCCTTGATTAATATATAACGAGACTTCTGCTGATTTCTCTAACTAAGAATGTCATTTAGCAAACGAAATGGTTCAAAAGCACATTTCGTTTATCTCTTTTCTCAGTCAAATCTACAGAACTGAAAAGCTAACAATGCTCTCAGTTTGGACTCAGTTCCAGTGATTCCATCTATGAAATGTTCATGTCAGCATGGTGTCCAAGGTACATATGTATGTAAAAAAAAAAAAATTCAGGTGGATGGTTGCAACTATGCAGCTGAAGTCCCACTGCTATGCATATGCATGTTGTGTCCAGGCACATACCAAAGGATGGTGCTGCAATTATGCAAACACAATCCCTATTTTGACTTTTTTGACTGCTCCCAGGCACCCCTGCATGGCAATGTGTAAAAGTGATGTGCCATTGTGCTTTCTTCCAGGACCTATCTTTAACACCTATTCTAACCATTAGCTCTGTGCATCTCAGTGATCCCAATCTAAATCATAACCAGGACCTATCCTGCTTCGTTTCTGATTTCTGGTTCCTCAGCAAAATTCTGGAGAAAAAGTATTCATCCATATATGTGCTCTTCAAACTTCCATGCTACTGAATGAGTAGTCTTCCTTAGAAGCCACTTACGCATATCCCAAAAGTGCTTTTCCAAACACCTACTGGACTTCCTTGGGGGTTTTTTTTCTTGGAAGAGATTTTGCTTCTCATCCAAGAAGCTTTTTCAATTCTGATTCTTGGATGAGAAGCAAAATGTTTTCAAGGGAAACCCCCCCCCCAAGAAAATCCAGTTTCCTTTTGGAAAAGCACCTTGGGGAGAATCATGACCTGGATGATTGAGAATCCCTATAGATACATATGCATATATACAGGTATTTGCATAGACATAAACCAATGTATTTCCATTACATATATGTCAGGACTAAGACTACCATCCAAATTTAGGATTATAGTCTTGGGCATGAAATTCCATGGCACCCTTCCATATTTTTATGTCAATAATATAAAATAATGCCATTTAATTTAATTCAGTAACAAATTAATTCTATTTATAAAAGACCAATTCTCACTAATCAATCACTAATAAGTTGTCTTAGATATTTTGATCTAAGCATAGATGATCATCAAATAGTAAAAAAAAAATACTTTACCACTAATTTCAAATGGTGTGAGTCCAGAAGATGCAAACATCATCTCATCTGACAACGAGAATGTTTTGATGTCTTTGACTTCATCATAGGTGATGCTATTTAAGTTGTCCATGGTCAAAGTTTTACTGTAAACTGCAATCCTATCAGGATAAATTTACTAGTTTTATCTCCTGGAAATACATCCTATTACATGAATGCTTGCCATTGGCTGGATTTTATTTTTACTAGACTTGGAAAAAAAAAAAGAAAGACAGAGAAAGAAAAAATCCCTAGCACAGTGCCTTTTGTACTTCCTCTAAAAAAATGTAAGTGTGGGCTGATGAATATGCCCTTTAATATTAAAGATAAAGAGATAGAGCTAAGAACTAAAATCCTTATTCTGAAATGTGACTCCTGACATTTGCATAATGATTTCTCTTGAAATCTGACCCATCGTGCTTATGTAAAGGCGTGTCTATACATTTAACTCAACATTGTTTTCCGGATAGGAGTGATTGCAGCAACTAATAGATTATAACTGTCATTGTGAAATGAGAGAGCTGCGGAAAGAAAAATGCTGAAGCAGTGGGAGATTGGGGTGGAGGGCTTGCACAAGAAGAAAAGGCATTAATAGCTCTAAAACTTCCCACTGGCCCCGAGAGCACCTAAGAGCCTCCCTTGAGAGGGTCGAGGGACAGAACAAAGTAGAGGAAATGAAAAAAATAACTAAGCCAACACAAATGATAATAATCCAAACAATATAATGATTCAAATTACTGTAATAAAATGCTGAGAAAAATGATAAGGAAAGAACAAGAATAGAAATGTGGCCGTCAGTTTGCATTATGACTAATATAGGCCTGTGGTTAGGAGAGAATATCCTTACTGTTGGTTAACAAAAATTAGCCAATATTGAATACGCAGAGGCTATGTGCATCCCTCCACCCCAATTTCTAATAATATTGAAATTTGTTTGGCTGATGGTTTCGTTTCCATGAGAGCATGCCAAGAGTCCCAATTTTGTAATGGGGCTGAACATTCCATTTGTGTTTTGTCACAGATTCAACATTAGAACATCATAGAGATATTTCACTTTTCTGCCTCCTCTACTTAGCACAGGGGTGTCAATTTCGTGGCGTCATGTTGTTGTCACATGACATATTATGGCATTTTCTCCTCCGCTAAACCAGGGGTGGGCGTGGCCAGTTTATGATGCATCTGGCTTGCGGGCCACGGGTTTGACACCCCTGGTTTAGCACAACTAACTAATTAACTAAGTTCCTTATCAAACATATGATATGCCCCCATTAGTCCAAATAGATCAGGTATCCCTAAACCCTGGTTCTGCAGTTCAGTACAGGTCCATGGCTCATTAGGAACTGGATTGTATAAGTGAGCATGCAAAGCTCCATCTGTGAATGCCGCAGATTAGATTACACAATGTAAAATCATCTCCTCCTCGCCACCGCCATTTCCCGCCCCCACCAGTCTGCAAGTCTGGAAAGATTGGGGACCTATAGCTATATAATATTAAACTTAATGTACTGTGAATAGACTCAGAAAAGCCCTCCTTTCAATGATTTGTATTCTCTTATAGTTGTGATAGGTTCCTCCATCCTCTGCCATATCATATTCTATATAGTATTCCTGGTATATTTGTAAAGTATTCCTCAATTGTACCATGAGCAGTTTTGCATTTTCCCATCATAACAATAGGAATAAAATGGAGTTTCCTTTTGCTGCATACTGTTGTATGTGTTAACATATTAGGGACAAGCCCATTTGCCAGAGAAAAACAACTCCAGAAAATGGGCTTAATTCAGTAAACAAGTTAAACACATTATGCCAAACCCACACATATCAAGTTGCATATTAGTGCAGGGATGTCAAACTTGATTTCATTGCATCAGGGTTGTGTTTGATCTTGGGAGAATGGGGTGGGCATGGCCAGGGTGGGCATGGCCAGGTCAACGTCACTCATGTCGGGAGCACCTTTGGAGGCCCGAGCACTCTGCCAGCAAAAACAGGTTCCCGAGCCCAGTTTTTGGCTGCGACGGCCTCCTGCAACCCTCTGCCACCAAAATGGAGCTCAGGAGGGCCACATGTAGCCATCTCAAGCTGTTTTCACTGGCAGAGGCACTGTTTCCAGTGTGGCCCCATGGGCCAGATCTAAGCACCCCATGGGAGGGTTCTGGCCACCGGGCCTTAAGTTTGACGCCCTTGTATTAGTGCATACTATCTAGTACTATTCCTCAAAGTTTATGGGGAATGAATGTTATCTTGATATCATCACAGAATAGCTGGGTTTTCTGTGATGATACAATCACAGTATCATCACAGAATAGCTGGGTTTTTGAGCACTCTGGATCTTTTGAGGAGAAGATCAGAGAAACTATTTTGGGAAAAGACCTAGCAGTACGATTTTTCAAGGCACTTGGCCAACAAGCAAAAGGCAATCACTTGGTCTATCCCAGTGAACAACCATTCCAAATTTAGAGGGAAATGAGGTTGTAAAATAGCTTGAGATTTGTAATAATTGGTTAACATTATTTTGTACTCTGATGTATCAGGACAAGAGAAGCCTTATGAATCTGTATCTTTGAAACAACATTATTTTCATTGACTGTATTCCTTTTTGCTTCATCTCAACCTAAACTTGTGACTTTAAAAATTGGGTACAGAATTGCAATTATAAAATTCTTTACATTGCCAACCACATTTAAGGACAGCTGGCTGCTAGTGTTAATATATGATAAATTATTGTAGAGTTTGTAGTTTGTAGAGTTTATTTGTATGCCGCCCTTTTCCCTGGGGGGACTCAGGGCGGCTCACAACCCAAAAGGGAGGGGGAGACAAACTTTTAACATATAAGACAATACATAATTAAAAACACAACATTCATACCATTCGGGCGGGTTACAGTCTTANTAAAAAAATACCAAAAATAAAAAAAAATGATAAATTTGAAGACAATTTTGCATGTTGTGGCAAATCATAACGTCTAGGAGTTTTTTCAATATTTTATTTGTTTTCAGCACACAAAAATACATGGAAATTAGATGAAAATAATCAAACAGCTTTTTAGTCGCAGACCTGTGTAATGGGCGCTCACTCCATTATGTGGTGCTAGGGATTCAAATCACTGAACTGCCAACCTTTCTGATCAACAAGCTCAGTGTCTCAGACACTGAGCCACCGCGTCCCTTTTAACCATTACATATAACCATTATGTTTAGCTTATAGCAATAACAATTACATTTGCATCAAGACTCTGGGTTCTATTAACCATCCAGTCCAGGAGCTGGTAATGTTTCTCAACAATATCCTTCCTCAGCTAAGAGACCAGCAATGATGCTACTCCTATCCTGTAATTTTAATACAGGATGAATTGAATAAAGCATCTGGTGGCTTTCCCAGGCCTCCTTTCCACTCCCACTGAGCATCTCTTAACAGTGGAAACTGAAACGCAAGCAATATGAGGTAGGATGGGGCTGGGTGAGTGGTGGTGGGTACTTTGAATTTCATCAGCCAGGTGCCAAGTTATCAGAGCAACAAGTTTTATGCATGGAGGTGTGATCTGTCAATGAGATATTTATGGTTTTAGCCATCTTCTGAATGAACAAAATTCTGTTTGACAATGAAATGTCAAAGGATGGAGCAAAGCTTCAACTACTCATCTCAGCACCAGTATATTCCCTTGTGATTAGAGCAAAGACATTCTGATTTTCTTTCTAATTCTTCCTGTAATTCACTAAAGAGGCAGATCTTTTTACCGATAAGAAAACTTATAGCTCGCTTCTTGACTAACTGTAGAACTTTTATCAATCTGAGATAATCATTGTGTTCCTTTATAGCTCTATAATTATTTGATTCTAGGTACTACCTACCATATGTAATTTTCATAGCAGAAACTATATCAGGAGAAGAGAAATTTCTTTCTTTCTTTCTTTCTTTCTTTCTTTCTTTTTTTCTTTCTGCCTTCCTTTCCCTTCTCCCTTCCCTTCTAAAAAACAAACAAACAAGAATAGTTAAAGATTATTTTAAGCTATTTTGGTTGCGGGTTGGAGTTGAGATGAAACCACCATCATGAGGATATGATTATGATCGTTCCAGTTACTGGGTTCATATCATGATCACGAAGGACTTGAGGATGAGCCTAAAAGAAAAATCAACAAGAGAAATATGGCCAATAATTAAAACTAAGTTGTTTTATCAACTTGACACAAACCACAAACATTTGTCTTTTCTTCCCAGGATTGCCAACAATCAAAATCTTATTTGCAATCAAACTTCTATTAGGTCTGGCATGTGGCTAATAAGTTATGTTTGACTTAGCAGGACATATAGTTTTCAGCCCTTTGAAAGCAGTTCTTTAACTCTTCTGGAGTAGCAAAATCATCAAAAGAGTGTAGAGAACTACTCTTGTGGGACAAGTTGCTCCATAGATGGCTGTGACCATTGGAAAGACCCTTTCTCATTTTCTTCCCATATGAAAATTCATGGTAGTTAAAGTCAGAAATGTACTTTATTCCTCTGTGTTAGAAACAAAGCATTGCTGGAGCAGCATTTTTAAAGGAGGCATACTTTAATTTTTGAGAACATGTAGCTGCTAAATGGTTGAGGCAGAAGAGGAAGTTTGCAGATTCACAAAAGGATTGGTGTGGTTAGAAGGTCCATTTATAGACAGAAATTGATTAAGTATTTTTTTTATTTCCTTTCAACCACTCAGAATATCATTTCTCACTTTAGTTTACTTTTTGTCTTTTTCCCAGGCAGAGGTTACACACTATATGTTCTGCTTTGTCAAACCACCTACTCCCAAACAAAGCAATGACCTTTTTGTAAGAATGGTATGAGGCTTGGAGGTGTGTAAAGAATGATTATAATGGAAGTGGTACGTAGGTACAGTATGTAGGTACGTAGCAGTGGTGGGATTCAGCCAGTTTGCACCTTCTCGGGAGAACCGGTTGTTAACTTTCTTTTTTTTTTTTTTCAAATTATTAATTTTATTAACGTGTCTTCAACTTTTATGATAATAAAAATCTAAAATCATTAGGCAAGCAGACNAATGAAGCCACGCTGAGAGAAAGGCCAAACCAAACAGAGGGGGGGGGAGGGGGCATCCGGAAGCGG